GCAACACCAGGGGACCCTGTCCAAAGACTGGTCGGTGAAACCTCTGGTCGAGAGACACGTGGCCAGAGGTTCAGCTGGTGCGCGGCGTACCTGACCGCGTAGGGCCACAGAAAATGGGGGGCACAGGCGTGAGTCAGGGAGGTGCGGGCGATCTCCATGACCAGGCCTATGCGGCGCTCAGCAACCCCATTCTGCTGCGGGGACTCTGGAAGCGTCCAGGACTGACGAATGCCCTGCTCGCGACAGAATCCAGCGAGAATGCCGGAGCGAAACTCACCCCCACGGTCGGAGTGGAGACAGCTGACACGACGACCACGAGTGTCCTCGGTGGTGAGCAACCACCTGATCAGCGTAGAAGTCACCTCAGACTTCTTCGCCAGAGGGAACACTGTGGTGTAGCGGGAGAAGTCGTCAACGACCACCAGAAAGTAACGCTCACGCTCAGGGCCTAGACGAGGGGCGGGGCCCCAGACGTCCAAGTGAAGCGTCTCAAAAGGCTCGGTGGCCGGACGAAGGGAGGAGGAGTGAGGGGTGGCGCGCAGCCGACCCTCGACGCAGGGACCACACGGCGGCGCAAGCGAAGGCGGCAGCGATGGCAAGACACGTGGGAGGCCTAGGACAAGACGCTGACTGGACATAGCGCGCAGACGAGGAAGGGACGGGTGCCCCATCCGGTGGTGCCACAGAACGGTGGGGTGGGCAAGCGACCGGCAGGAGCACGACGCAGCGACTGGAACAGACGTAGGAACCTGACACGACACAGACACCTGGGGGGACGTAGCAACCTGGTGAGACGCGGGGACCCGAACGGGGGGGGGAACCGGGGGCAGTGGCAGTAGGGGGGGCTGCTGGTGCGGCCGCTGGTGCTGCTGCTGCTGCTGCTGCGGCTGCTGCTGCGGCGCACGCGGGCCAGTGTGAAGAGTGTAGAGACCCGAGCCCGGCTCAGCAGTAAAGGTAGCAAGAGGCTGGTAAGAGTCTCCGTCAACACACACCGCAGTCTCTCCAGAAGGCTCAAACCACACACCCACGTGCTGACTCACGAGGGGTCGCACGCCCACCAAGTTCCGGGAGAACGAGGGGACGTGAAACCCAGTGAGAGACCCGGAGGGAGCAGCAGGACACGGTAAAGTGGTAGTGTGACGTGCAGTGACTGGTCCCGTAGTGGGATCAGCCAACGCTACAGAAACAGGCGCAGGAAGTGGTGTAAGTGTCGTGCTGTCCCGGAAGAAGCAGTGGGAGGCTCCAGAGTCCAGTGTGAACGACAAAGAAGCGTCCTCTGAGGTAGTCGCTGGTCTAGAGTCTACACAAGTACCTACACTAGCAACAGGCAACTGAGCAAGACTAGCACCTAAGCTAACAACACCAGAGTAAACAGAGTCAGAAACACTAGTGTCAACAACAGCATACATAGCATGAGGAGCACTAATCAGATCAACTAACTGCTCAGCAGACATGCCCCACAGAGCGGAGCCGTAGCGCTGAACCAGAGGAAGCCAGTCAGGAGCAGGACCGCCAACCCCGTAGGTCAACCGGACCGTGTCAGTGAGCTGAGCAAAGCACTGACCAGGGGGGTGAAAGCGGCCACAAGGGTGGCCCCGACGAGGACCTGTCTGAACCTGGTAGGGGCAGGGAGGGTAAGCAGCACCGCGCTGGGGCTGACGCAGCCCCGACCCCGGAGCCAGCTGCTGACGCTGCTGCTGCTGAGGCTGCTGGGAGGAAAGGGGCTGCTGCTGCTGCTGAAGGTGCTGCTGACGCTGAGCCTGGTACCACGCCGCTGCTCCACCTAGCGGGGCCGGCAGTACAGGAGGCGACTGACGAGCTCGAGGGTCGCCGCCACCAGCAGGTGCAGTGGAGTCACCAGCCGCTGCACGAGGGGATCTCCAGACGCTGCACTCCCACCACCGCCAGTCGCAACAGCACCCCCACTACCTCCGCTACCTCCGCCTCCACCTCCACCGGAACCACCTTTCTTGCCCCCCCTGCCGCGGGACCGCGACGCAGTCGTAACAGCAGCCGCAGTCGCGTCAGTAGCGGCAGTGGCAAGAGAGGCAGTGAAGGTGGGTAACTGCGGGACTGTGCACCCGTGGAAGAGTGGGGGGGACACAGTACCAGAGGCGGCAGCTACCGAACGAAGGTTGCTCTCGACGTCCTTGAGTGCAGACTCAAGGACCTCGATAGTCAGCTCACTAGGGTGCTTCAGCAGAAGCGCGTCACGGACGGAGGCAAGGCGGTCAGGGAGGCTAGTGGCGATGAAATAGACAGTAATCGCCATGGGGGGAGGAAGCAGTGCAAGCCGTGCCTCAGTGCAAGCAGCGCGGTAACTAGCGTCGAGCGAGCGGAGGTGAGCGATCAAGTCAGCAGAGCGCTCAAACGAGGCAAGATCAGGAAACAGGAACGGGAGGAAAAGACGGCTGAGAGAGACAGTAGCGGGAGTAGAGTAGCGGGCCTTAATCGCAGTGAGGTACGCAGCAGCGGTGCGAACCTGAGTAAAGTGGACCTCCTCGGACTCAGGGAGGAGGCTGCTGAGTGCGATGCAGGCCGCAGCGTCACGCGACGTCCAAGCCGTCCGGTCAGCGCGCTGACGGGCAAAGCGAGCCGTAGCAGCGTCGTCAGGAGCAGGGCCTAAAGCGGTAGGCTCGGGGGGCTCGGGGAGGTCACCAGTAGCGTGTGACCAGAGGGTCTCGCCCCCCTGGACCTGACTCTCTAACAGACGACGAGCGCGAAGAAGCCAGACGGAAAAGTCAAGGGGTCTACCGTCAGCGTCGAAACGAAGAACTCGCGGAGTCGCCATACTGAGAACCAACGCGAACGAACAGGCGAGTAACAACCGGGGGGGAGAGGACTCAGTCGCAGCGGAAGAGCGGGCTAGGGCGACGGGCCAAAACGTAGGGTAGGGCAACGGGCCAGGGCCTAGGGTAGGGCGACGGGCCAGAGCCTAGGGAGGGCGACGGGCCAGGGCCTAGGGAGGGCGACGGGCCAGGGCCTAGGGAGGGCGACGGGCTAGGGCCTAGGGAGGGCGACGCGACGGGGGAAAGGGCGGGAGCGACGCGACGGGGCAGGGCTACGCGACGGGACAGGGCGACGCGACGGGGCAGGGCGGCGCGACGGAGCAGGGCGACGGGACAGGGCAGGGCGACGCGACGGGGTAGGGCGACGCGACGGGACAGGGCGACGGGACGGGACAGGGCGACGCGACGGGACGGGACAGGGCGACGCGACGGGACAGGGCGACGGGACGGGACAGGGCGACGCGACGGGACAGGGCGACGGGACGGGACAGGGCGACGCGACGGGACAGGGCGACGGGACAGGGCAGGGCGACGCGACGGGACAGGGCGACGGGACGGGGGGGGAACAGGCGGGCGCGACGCGACGGGGGAAACAGGCGCGACGCGACGGGGGGGAACGGGCGCGACGCGACGGGGGGGAACGGGCGTGACGCGACGGGGGAGATGACGCTAGGCTCGGTACTAGGCGCGGTAACAACTAAACTGGTACGAACGAGAGGTAGGATCAGGCTCGGGAGGTACGAACGGAGAACGGAGGAACGGGATCCCACAGGATCCTAACCTAGCTGATACCATGTCAGAATGAGGAATGGATGTTGCATTGATGTTGGTTGGGGTACATATGACAAACCCTAACTTCTGTACCCCCTAAGACAAACCTCACTACAGGCTACAACATTTGACAGACAGATGCGAGAGTAGAGGCTGCTGGAGTGGTAGCATCTGCCGGTGTGGCAGAGCCATGGGCGCTAGTGTTGCCGTTTGTCATGTCGAATGGACTATGCGTAGACAGTACACAAGTGTTGAAGAAGGGTGGTATATTTGAATGTATCAAGTGCCTTCCACTCCCAGAGGATTTCAAAGACATTTGGTGCGGGGGACGTGGATTGGGCAAGGGCGGGAGTTTCTTTGACTGACGTCAAGACAGGCGGGACGCGTTGCCACATCGTGCTCGAACGTGCCACGATGCTGGACACGTGGCTACCACTGTGTGCACGAATTGTGGGGTGTCTTCGTTGTGCAACTTCATGCACTGGCGAAGCGCTCGCCCGTTTCGCCAGCTGTTCGGACGTGCTGCAAATCACACACGCTCGCATGAACGTGCGCACGCACGTTCCCGCCTCCGACTCGAGTCAAGTTCATATTTCAAACTCGAACTTTTGCAGAGCCCATACAATGCTTGGTTCGCGAAGCACCCTTCGCGAAATTAGCGAATAGGGTAACCACCCAAAGTTCGAACTTTATTTTGAACTTCTAAACAGACCACACGCGCCCTAACCTGCTTGGATCGTTTGAACGATGGAACGGCGGACGTGATGATAGAGGATCAACTTTCGTTACTGGATTCAGTGAGGAACCGGCACCAATCACAGTTCGGCTCTTCATCTTCTGACGAGTTTAGTCTGGTGGCGGGACATGCCATGTACAAACAAACCTATTTACTGGAATCTCATGACATCTCAGCAGCTTTCCATCTAAAATTTCCAGCACTTCGAGTTTATAAACATCACAATAATATTTTCAGCGCATGTTTTCATCTGGTGGTATAATTCTAAGCGCTAATAAGCAATTATGATGAGCTTGAATTGTTTTATACATCCAGGTTCTCCCCCTTCTAGGTTTCCTGCTATCCTATCGCTGGGCCTGCATTTGTTCATTAGCTTGCACCAGCTAATTTACAGCTCATAACGATTTCACTTAAACTGATTATCACTCACTCCGTATTACCGTTAAACCTCGGCAAATCCTCATCGTTCCGCTCTCCTCCCAGCCCAACACAAGGCACTGCACCATCACGTTCAGGCCATGGCACATCCTCGAATTTGTATGGCGGCATCACTGGCCTGCCCATCACGCTAGTAGCATCTTATTTCTAGAATAGCAGCTCGTTTCCAACAAGCTTTCCACGATTTTTCCAGGCACGAGTTCCATTCGTCCCCTCTCCATGTCTTCTCTATTACCCTCTTTCACGCGTGTTTTCACTGCCCCGCCATGGCCACTTTGAGTCTCGCCCGTTGCCCCGCGGACATAGCCGGCGCGAGCGTCGTATCAGCCGACGTGTCCGCGGACCTCAGGCTGCTAGCGGCGCACCTGCCGTGCGACGATGTTGCTGTCTGCGCTCTCGGCAGCCCCGTGCGCCCCGCTGCTGCCACCACCCACGTGCTCTTTCGCGATCGCGCCGACCCGGCGGCCGCAGATGCCCCTCCTCACGCGCCCTCGTACCATCGCCTCGTCGCATGGCTGTGCCCGCGACAGCAGCCGGGCGAGCCGTGCGATCAGGGCCAGTCGCATGATCGAATTCTCGTGCTGCTCAGGCCCAGCCGTGTGTCACTGTACGCGATAAGAGCAGGCACGAGCCCCGTGTCGGGAAGTCCAATACCGACTGCGTCAGTGCAGGCCAGGCGCGTGTCCGGCGGCAGGGCGGGCGTGCGAGTGGTGTTCTGGCCGGGGAGCGCGCACGATTCCCCCTCCGCTCGCGGCGCCCACGATGCGCTGGATCTGGCGGGTGGCGCAGCAGATGTCGCGGGAGAAGCTGGCAGATGGGAGCAGTTGGCGGGGGGAGGGGAGGCAGCAGCGCACATGAGCATGGGCGCGGGTGCGCGCATGGGGTTCAGCATGAGCGCGTGGCATGCACACTTCGATTCCCCGCCCTGGCACAGCCTCCTGGCCGCCTGTGGCGCCATGGCAGCGGGCGGAGACGACAGAGAACAGGCGCGCAGCGGCGGAGAGGCGAGCATGCAGGAGAGTGGGAGCGAGGGCGGGGCGTGGGGGTGTGCGGTGGAGCAGGTGGTGGCTGTGGGGGTGGAAGCCGACCCGCATGCCTCCCACGTCGCGCTGCTGCTCACGTCGCGCCACGCATACTCGCACATGTGCCTCTCTCCCTCCGCACTGCGCTGCCAGGCCCCCCTGCCAGCATGCAGCAGCGTGCTTGTGCTGGCCGTGGCAGGGGGAGAGAGCACGGACAACGCGTGGCAGGGGACACAGGGCGGTGCTGGGGGGGAAGGGGAAAATCAGTATAGTAACCTCTTTATGGTGGAGGAGCAGTGGCGCGCGGAGCAAGGGCGCAGGGCGGGTGCTGTGGTGCGCGTGCAGTGCTGCATCCACCTGCACGCGGTCACGGGCGCACAGCATGGCCCGAGCGCCATGTGGAGTGCCGTGAAGCTGCAGGGCGCCGTGCTGTGCGCCGTGCAGCCATGCGGCGCTGCTTTCACGTGGAGCGCCGCATCTGGCCGCCCCCTGCACTCCCTGCTCCTCACCCCCGCCGGGCCCGCCCCTCTTGCGCCCACTCACGCCTCTGCCCGTCCCCATGCGCGCCAGGCACACGGAGCTGACGCAGTTGCCAGCGCCAACAGCAGCAGCAGCAGCAGCAGCAGCAGCAGCAGCGAGAGCATGCAGAGCCGCCCGCCCACGGACCAAGCACAGAGTTCGCTAGGTGTGGCGGCGAGCGGGATGGGTGACGTGGTGGGAGTGGTGCTGGGGTGCGAGGGCGCGCTGCTGTGCGCCGTCACCACCACATGCCTTGTGCTCACTGCGTCTCTGCCTGCGCCCTTTCCTCCCCATGCGCCACTGCCTCTCCCCGCACCTCTCGTCCCCTCCATGCGCCCTGTGCTGCTGTGCAGCCCTCTGGCATCAGGTCGCGTGCTGCTGGGGCTCATGCATGCAGACAGGCCGGGGCCGGGGGAGGGCAGCACTGCCGTGCTCACAGTGGCCGTGCTGCACTCGCCCCACACGCCCCACCATTCCCTCCCACACGCTGCCCCCCACCCTGCCGCCGATGCAACCTGTCCAGCACCAAAGGCACGTGTTGCTGTCTATTCCTTCCCGCTTGCCATCCCCCACAACCACGCGCCCACCACCCACACCCCTCTTGCACCCGCCCTGCCGTCTCTCTCGCTGCCCTCCTCCGCGCTGCCACTGCTCTCCTGCCACCGCCTGCTCTGTCTCTCCAACGACCGCCTGCTCCTCCTCCTCCCCGCCCGCCCGCCCTCGCCCCTGCACCTCACCTCGTCCGCACCCCTCTTCCCCATGTGCCACCTGCCCCGGTCGTGCATCCCCTCACCCCCACCTGCCACTGCTCTTAGAATGAACCCCACTGTGGCAGCCCTGCAGTTGGAAGGTGTGCCTTCCCCGACACCTTGTGGTGGGGGCGAGCAGGGAGAGGGGGGAGTGAGGGTGCGGAGAGGACATTTTGCAAGTGTGGTGGTGGGGGGGAGTGGTGTGGTGGAGAGGTGGGTGGGGGCGGAGAGGCAGGAGGAGGCGTGGGTGTGCAGTGTGAGTGAGGCGATGGGGGCGGTGATGGCAATCGAGGGCGATGTGATGAACAGGGAGGACCTGGGCGGCACTGCCTTCCTCTCCCTGCTGCACCACACCGCACACGCCAACGGTACCAACCCTGCTCTGCACTGCACGCTTCACCTGTGCCCACAGAGCAGCAATCTTTCGGCACGCCGGCATCCTGTTGTCTGAGCCACATCCTGTCTCCATTGGACTCATCATACAGTGTGTGCGTGTTGCCTTGCAGGCTGGCCGGACTCGTGTCTTGTGTTGCAGCATGTGCGCCTCTGCCTCGACCTCATGTGCCCTGCACCCTCCGTTGTCAGGTGCGTCACTTCAGCTGCAACCCACACTCGCTCTCTTATTCCACTTTATTTGTTTTTTTCTGATCATCCAGCTCTGCATCTTCACCACTAAAATCCTCACCCTGTGCATCTCGTTCCCTCTCTGTGCATATGTGTGTGTGTGCATGCAGGCTGCTCTTCCTGCTGCATGGCATCAGCGCCCCCCTGCAAGTGAAGGCCTTCCACTGCCTGCTCTCCTACCTCATCGCGCACCTCCCTCTCGCTCGCTTCTCGCGCTCTCACGCCAGATACACATCCAGGTATGTCCCCCCGCGCGCACCCACAAGGGTCTGCATGGCCTGCTCAGACTGTGCTGGGGCAGGACCCTCTGCCGTTGCCACACGCAATTCTGCACCACCCTCGCCACTGCAATCCCAAGCCTCTTGCTGATTCGCCTCACCTGCGCCTCTCCAATCGTCCCGCCTCCCTCCTACCCCCCCAGTCTGCTGGCGCATGCCATCCGCGCGCTGCTGCAGGCGCTCCTGCTGCACTACCACACCGCGCCCGCCTCGCCCCACAGGGCTCGCCGCCCCCACTCGTCGCTGCGCCCGCGCACACCAGCAGGCGCAGGCAGGCATGGGGGCGTGGTCAGGGGCGAGAAGGGGAGAGGAGGAGGGCAGCGGAGGCAGCAAGAGGGGGAGGCGGGGAGTGAGGAGCAGGCGGCACAGAGGGCGAGCATGGAGGCGCTGTCAGATGTGCTGCTCACCCTGCGCCGCCTGCACACTGCCGCCACTCGCCTTGCTTCCCACCATGCTGCTCCCTCCGCTGCCACTGCTGCCCCCAGCAGCGCTGCAGGCGGCGCTGCAGAGAGTGGTGGTGCAGTGGCAGGAGGAGGAGGGGGTGGCGCGGAGAGACAGTCAGGGATGCTGCTGCTGTCCGCCCCGCATGCTCTCGCTGCGGCGCATGGCCCACAGGTGAGGGCGAGCGGCACCATGCAGGGGCGATGTTCCATGTGCATGGGCATGTGCCAGTGAGAGCAAGGTCCTTATGCGCCATGCAACCCGTTGTGCACTCATGCACTTGCCTTGCCTCCCTTGTTGGAACCCCTCCCTCCCACCATGCAGGCGGTGCTTCCATCTGGGCCCCTTTACTCCCGCTTGCCTCTTCCCCACCTTCGGCCCTCCTTCCCCATGCCTCGCTCAACCCACGATCAGCTTTCAGTCCCCTCCTCTCTCTTCTCCTCGCAACCGCCCCACCAACCCACCACCCTCACCACGCGCTCTGCCCAGCCGCTCGCCCTGCCACCACCGCCCACCGCTGCACCCGCCGTGGACATTCTCCCCCACCAGCTTGCAGTGCTGCCCCCTCACAGCGCGCCAATGCGGGCATGGATGGAGGGGGGCGAGCAGGAGAGTGTGCGGGCAATGCTGCAGCGATGGCAGCAGCAGCAGAGCCCCTCTCAGGTCGTGGTGTGTGACGCCATCGCCTCCTGCCGCCTGCCCCTCGCCACCGCCTTCCTGCACCACCGCCTGCTGCACCCCCCACGCACACAGCAGCCCCGCCTGGAGGGCGCAGGTGGTGAGCAACACAAGGCGGTGGAGGAAGAGGAGGGTGACACAGAAGCAAGAGAGCAGGGAAGGGCAGAAGCAGACGCGGATTGGAGGGAAGCAGGGCAGCAGGAGGCGGGGCAGGCGGGCAGGGAGGAGGCGGAGCATGTGGTGCAGGTGGAGGGGCGCAGGCTGGCGCTGGCGTTCCTGTGGCAGGGGCACGCGGGCATGGCAGCGCAGGTGCTGCTGCGCCTGGGCGCTCACGTGCATGCGTCACTGCTGGACCTGCTGCTGCGCTCCTTCTCCTCCCACCTGCGCCACGTTCTCTCACACTACCTGCACCACCACCACCTGCTACCGCCCCCCCTCCTGCACTCCCTCGCCTCTACTCAGGCCATCCAGGTAACTGCCCACCATTCTGAACTGCTCAACCACTTGCCACCACCTGTGCATGTTCTGAGGCGCCCCAGTATCGCCACTCACCCATGGACAGCTGGCCACTTGATGCCCCATTGCCATGGCCTCATTCTCTTGCGCTTCTCTTGAAACCCCTTGTCGCCACTCCCGCCCACCCTCCTCCAGGACATGTACCCCCTGCGATCCTTCACCTCCGCATATCGCCTGCGCCGTGCCTCTGCCCCCGCCTCACTGCAACCCCGCCCTGCCATGTGCGCCGCACCCAGTGCCCTCCCTGGCACTGCTCCAGACTCCGCACCTGAGGAGGGGCATGCAGGCTTGGACGTAGGGGGCGCAGGGGGAGCATGTCACACAGTGGGTCAAGGGGTGGCAGACGCTGGTGGGGAGGATGGGGTGGATGAGCGTGGGGCGGATGGTGGGGCGGGGAGGAGAGTGGAGGTGGGTGCAGGGGGTGTGGAGTGTGGGGAGTGTGGTGGGGGGGTGATTGGAGGCAGCTGGGGCAGCCTGGTGGCACTGGTGCCCGCACAGGGAGGGCAGGGGGGGAGGCAGGGCGTGGAGGCGTGGGGCGAAGGTGCAGAGGGTGGGGAGAAGGAGACGATGGACGCAGAGGGGGTGGGTGATGAGGAGCAGAGCGGGGTGAAGGCAGGTGATGGTTTGAGCGTTGTGGTGCGGCACGGGTTTGCGTGTGTGGCGACAGCATGGGTGCAGCACTGGGACTCTGCTCTGCTGCTGCAGGTCAGCACGGCACACCTTCCTCCATGCACCATGCGCACTCACTCCGCTCAAGTTGCTCGCGTTCACTCTGTCCTTGCCGTCGCCTGCACTTAAGCCGCTACATTCCCCACTTCTATTGCTCCACCCTTATCGTTGCATGTGACATGGCACTCACGCAAGTACTGCATGGGTCACCTAGCTCTCCCCCTCTTTCTCCCGGGCCATTGCAGGTGCTGGCAGAAGGAGCTCTCCTCGCCTCGTCTCCCACTCCCTCCGTTTCCTCCTCCTCTTGTTCGCCAACTACTTCCTCCTCGGACCTCTCGTCCCCACTCACGGCACTGCATCACATGCTAGCCACGCACCGCCTGCACATCCCACCGTCACTGCCCGCTTCTCCACCACCCTCGCCTGCATCACTGGTGGCGTGGGAGGCTCTGCTCTCCTTGTCCCTGCGCCACCACCTCCCTGCCCTCCTCTCCTCCACCCTGCACGCCCTCCCTCCCACCTCCCTCGCCCGCTCGCCCATCACTGCTGCCTTGCACCGCCCTCCGCATCACTTCCTTACCACCTCCACCGCCCCCACACGCCCCTGCATGCGCGTGCCAGTGGTGTTGGCAGCAGCAGTGCTCGAACCAACCACAGCCTTGCTCAGGGCGGAGTGTGCGAAGGCGGACGGGGCAGGGGGCAGTGCGGATGGCAGGGGCAGCAGTGGTTTGATGCGCAGGGCGTTGGAGGAGCAGCTGGCGGCGCAGGGAGTGCTGCTGGCCGCCCACTGGCGCCACCCCTTGCACCTCCTGCGCCTCCTCGCACGCGCCCACATGCTGCTGCCGCCCAAGAGCCATTTGGGGGAGTTAGCGGGAGGGGGGGGGGAGGAAGCAGGGGGAGTGGATGGTGTGAGTGCAGGGAGGCGTGGGCTCGTGGGCGAGGGTGAGGGTGATGCGGGAAGGGGAGGCGACGGGGAGGCAGATGTGCGAGACAGTGAGGACAGTGCTGTGGCAGGGCTGCAGTGGAGTGCTGTGGCCATGACTCTCACGTGCTCCGCGCTGCGCCTGCCACTGCTGCTGCACCTCTTCATGGACAGACACTCTGCCAGTCACCGTGCTCGCATGCAGCAACACACACGTGAACATGACATGGTGAGTTGCCTTCCACAGTCTTTCTTGCCGTAATGAGCCTTTCCCTCCACCGCCTTTCCACTTACAGTTTGTCGGTGTAATATTCAGAATCTTAAGCGGCTCATGTGTTGCCCCTCCTTTTTTCCCTGCGTGTGCCTCTAACTCCCTCCCGCCCCTTGTGCTCCACGGGTGCAGCTCCTCTCAGCGCACCCCTGCTACGTCTGGTTGCTGCACTCCCTCTGCCCACCGCCTCCTTCACCCCCCATCACCCCCTCGCAAGGCCCCCTGGCTGCACCGGCAGGTGCCCCTGCAGTGGGCGTGCAGGTGGCACAGGGGGTGTGGTGCAACCTAGCATGGCTCCTCGCCCACCCCCCTCACGGCACTGCCTGGCCCTGGGTGGGCGCGGCGCAGGGGGAGAAGACCGAGGGCGCGTGGGGGGATGAAGAGGGTGGTGAGAAAAGCAGTGAGGGGCGTGGTGCAGGTGCAGGGATGAGCGGGGGAGGTGATGGGGACACGAGTGGTTGCGGAGGGGAAACAGGGCAGGTCCGGCCAGGAGCAGGAGCTGTGGCTCTGTGGGCTGGGAATCACTTGAGCGGTGTTGTGGGGTGCAGATGGGTGGGTGGAGCAGACGTGGATACATGGGGAGAAGATGAGCTGTGGTGGTGGCAGAAGGGCCAGTGGGGCGAGGAAGAGTGGTGCGGTAAGGCAAGCACTGCAGGACACAGTGGGAATGAGGCGACTGGGAGGAGGGCGATGGGGGACGAGGAGGGGCAGGCGGAGGAGCAGGATGAGGAGAGAGGAGAGGGCGAGGCAGAGGAGGAGCAAGGGGAGGAGGGGCATGAGGAGGAGATGGCGGATTGCAGTGGCCCACGTGCGGGCTTAGAGGTGCGGAGAGCAGTAGAGGGGCGGTGGGAGGAAGTGCATGTGTCAGCAGTGGAGCACTGGCAGCAGCACCTCTGGCGCTCCCTGCTGCTCGCGCTGCTTCTCCACCCCCCCTCTCAACCCGCCCTCCCCTCCCACCTCCCCCTGCTCGCCTGCCTTGACCGCCTGCTGGGCCCGACGCATGTGGCTGCACCGGGCCATGGGGGGAGCGGGCGGGCGGAAGGCAGGCGAAAAGAAGAGGAGGAGAGGAGTGGAGAGTGGTGGCGGAGTGGCAGGGGAGGGAGGGAGGAGGTGGTAGCAGTGTTGGGGGGAGGCAGAGGCATGTGGCAGATGAGGGGTGTGCGCATGGCACTCACTGCATCGCACCATGCAGCACAAGGTGCGATGCACTGCATGCACGTGCGATTCTTGCTTAGCAGTCGCATGTTGACAGCACTTGTGGGCAGCTCTTCCTGCTCATACTCGTCTTCCCTTCATCCCACCGACTTTTCAGTTTCCGCTTGCCCGTCTCTCGACGCCAACCTCCGCCGCCATCTCTCTTCACTCCTTCACACTGTTTCGTTCCTCGCCTCCCTCTTCCTCGCTCTTCCTCTGTGTGTCCGTGTGTGTGCGTGCAGGAGTCACCCTGCCCTGCCTGCTACCGCCAGCACTGCTCTCACCACCGGACTCACTCCACCATCACCTGCACGCACTCTCCCACCACCCCGCCCCGCTGCCCCCCGCACCTGCACTCGCCCTCGCCCTCCGCCTGCACCTCCTGCTCTTCACCCCGGTCTCAACCAACCCCCTCGCCTCCCACTCACTCCCCCCCGCGACATTCCCCTGGGAGCTTCCCCCTGCCTTCCCCCTGCCATGCACCCTCCAACTTGCTCCCCATGCTGCCCTGCAGCGCCTGCCGTCCCTCTCTGCCCTCTCCCACTCCCTCGCCTCCCTCTCTGCCCGACCCCATGCCTGTGCCTGGCTCACCGACTCTTCGCCCTTGGCAAACCGCAGTGCACCAGAGGTACCAAACCGCACTGAACCCTGGAATCTCTCTTCGCGCATTGTCTATTTTTGCTATCGGCGGTGACTCATGTCATCTCCTCTGCATGCCAGCAATTGTAAGTCTACCCCATCCTTTTTTTAACCAATTATGTCTGCCCCAAGTGAACCTCCCTTATCCCCGCTTTCCTCTTTCTCTTTTTCCCCATCCACACGCCCCGCCATACCCATCCGCAGGTACCCACTAGCGCCCATCCAAGCGCACTGCTCCCCCTGCCTCACTCTCTCCGCCACCAGCTGCTGGCAGCATCGCCCTTGGCGCTCTTTCTCTCACTCCTCCCCTCGCTGCTCTCCCCATCCGTTGCCCGCGCCGCTCTTAAGGCCACCATGCACCACCTGCACGGCCTGGCATCAGCAGCAGCCCTGCTCGCGCGCACACACACGCCCCTGCTCGCCTCCGCCTCCACCTTCCTCTCCCTTCTCGGCCTCTCCTCCTCCCGCCTGCGCCTTGTCATCGCTGCCTTGCACCTCATCCTCTCCTCCTCCCCACCCCCCTCGCCCTCGTCCCTGGCCGCCGTTGCCCGCTTCCTGCACTGCTACTGCATTGCGTGGGCGGGGGGGCAACAGGGCGGGGCGGGCAGGGCAGGGGAGGCGACGCAGCACAAGGCGGCGAGGCAGCTGCTGAGGCTGCTGGAGGGTGCCGTGCTGGGGGAGGCGGAGGGGGCAGGTGGAAAGGGGGAGGGGGAGAATGGTGCGGGGGGGATTTGTGTGGTGGAGGTGGGGGCAGCGGAGAAGGGAGGGGTAGGGAAGGGTGTGGTGCGGGGGTGGTCGAACCATGCAGTGGAGATGGTGGGGGAGGAGGAGCAGCAGGAGAGGCAGTGGCGAGTGCAGCAGGCGATGCAGAGGAGGGAGCAGCAGCAGCAGCAGAGGGACGAGTGGGCGTTGGTGCTGGCTCTTGCAGCGGAGTTCTCTCTTCCACCCCCTAACACACTCTTACTGCGCTTCGCACGCGCTAACGACTGGGTATGGCTTGGGCTGCATGGGGGGGCTTCATGTGTGTGTGCTGTGTGACACGATTCTCCGCTCCCAACACCTAAATCCTCTGTCTTGTGTCTTGGTTCGCCTCCTCCAGATGGGGTTGCTGGCACAAGCTCAGGCGCAAGCATGGCCCCTCCACGACCTCCTGCACATCGTAACGCTCTCCACTGCCCTCGCCCCGCGCTCACTTCCTCACTCCCTAAACCCTCCTATGCCTTGCATTGCCTCTGTGTTTCGCCACTGCAGCAGTCTGTACTATCGACTTCATACATGGCCTAGCACTGCTCACTGCGCCCTCCACCATATGTGTGCACACCATTCACCACCACTTTTTCACCACCACAATGGGCCCTTGCCATTGATCACCAATCTCTATCTCCCCTCTCACGCCTCTCCCCTGCGCCTCCAGGTCCACCAGCACGTGCCGCACCTGCCGCTGCGCCACCACCTCTCGCTCGCCCTCACCCGCTGTGCCACCCCCTCCTGCCCACCGCCCTCGCTGCTGCCGTACCATCGCACACCCACCCTCTTCCACGTCCTCTCACAAGCCACCACTGCGCCCGCCAACTCACGCACCCCTGGGAGCACCACTGCTCGCCCCCCTGGCCATGTGGCGGCACAGCTGCTGTGCAACGCACGGCACCTGCACTGGCCGCTGCTGGCCGTGGTGGCAGCAGGCGTGCAGGGGGGCACGGAGGACAGGCAGGCAGGGGCGACCTCGGGGATCACCCTGTTCCACCTGGCGTGCCTCGACTGCTGGCTGCATGCCACCTGTGCAGAGTGAGGATGGCGCACTACCCCACACCTTAACTCTCCAACACCCATTGCCCCAGTATTGTATTGTTGCAAGGTTTAGGGTTTCTATGTGGACTGGCATGGGAAAGAAACACGGCTTTTTGTTCTTGGTTCACTTATAGGCTTAAAGAGAAAGAAGAGAAGAAAATGCCCACTCCACTCTGCGCCACACCCACACTGCCGCATACCTGCTACCAGTTGTTGCTGTTGCTTTTCCAACCTCTTTTCCCCTCTCATTCCCCGCTTTCCCCCCAACCTCATTGTGCGCCAGGCTGCTTGCAGCATCGACCCACGCTGGATCGCACGGCCTTGCTGCCGTTGGTAGGGTTGTGTCCGCCCAGGGGGGGATGGAGAGACTAGGGCGGCTGGGAGAAGGGGGGGAGGAAGAGGGTGAAGCAGAGGAGGGGGTTGAGAAGGCGTGTGGAGGAGGAGTGGGGGGGAATCGGGAGTGGGTTCTGGGGTTGCAGCAAGGGAAGCGGCGGCGAGTGGAGGCAGAGAGAGGATGGAAAGGGGAGAGGCAGGCAGCAGGCATGGTTGAAGGGGAGCAGAGGGTGCCACATTCACAGGCACAGCCAGGCGCGGAGGCAACGCAAGTGGAGGGGCAGGAGAGGAGGCATGGGGGCGAGGAGGCGAGGGGCATGGGGCTTGGCGGCATGGTGGCGTGGCTGTGCCGCGAGGGGTGTGTGCTGCCGCTGCTGCGCGGGCTGCACCTCTTCCTGCCTCGCTGCTCCCTGCTCTACCTCCTCCTCGCACTGCAGGTGTGCTGCCAATGCCACCCTCCATGCACACACATTTCAATTGCTCCATGAGTTGCGTCCTGCTGCTTCATTTCTCGTCTGCACTCCATACCTTCCTCCTCCCCCTACCTTCCCCCTCCCCGGACCCGTTCTCCTCCCCTTAGGCGCACTGGCGGCAGCACAGTGAGGAGGCGGAGGCGTGTGTGGCGGAGTTCAACGTGCTGGCGGACAGGGAGCACGCGCATGCACAAGCAGCGCACCACCACCAAGGGCACGCACTGGGGGAGGCGTTGGGAGACTTGGAGGATGTGTGGGGTGCTGAAGGGGCAGCGGAAGAGGAGCAAGCAGTGACCCATGACCTCCCTCCTCTGCACACTCGCTCCTCCTTCTTCTCCCCCTCCCTCTCTCTGCGCTCCCTTGCCCTCCGCTGCTCTCTCTCCCCCTCGGCTATCCTCTCCTCCCTCGCATCGCTAGCAGTTGATGCAGCCATTGCCCGTGCTGCCTCACCGCACCAAACTCTCTCCCTCCTCCACCTCTTATCACGCGCCCGCCTGCCCCCACCTGCCCAGCACCGCCTGCAGCAGCTTCAGGTGGAAGCCCAGCTGCTCTCAGGTGACCCTTCAGGGTCCTCCGCCTCCCCGCTGCCCTCTGTACCCCCTGTGGCTGCGCGTGGAAATTCCAGCAGTGCGGCAGGGGCAAGGGTGGATGGAGGGGCGGAGCAGAGTTGGGCGGAGGGGGATAGAGGGTGGGGCGCAGCAACGGAGCAGGGCGAGGAAAGGGTGGGGGAGCGGGGGGAGAGTGCGGAGGGCGGATGGGGCAATGAGGCACTAGAGCAGCTGGTGCAGGCGGGCAGGTGGAACGAGGCACGGGTACTGGCAGGCCGGCTGGAGGGCCATGGGGGCAGTGGCAGCACAGCACGGGGGGATGGCGCACGTATGGCAGATGGGGGAGGAAATTCACATGGAGGGGGAGGATGGATGGGGGAGAGGGTGGAACAGGCGGGAAGCGGGGATGAGGAGGGGGATGAGATGGGGGAGGGGAGCACGGGTGCGGCATCGATGACGCAGGAAGCCAGTGCGTTGCAGGCGCGCATAACCCTCTCTCAGGTGTGCTGCTCGTATCCTCCCTTCACTTGCATGCCGTCTACACTCTCTCCTGTCTGTGCCCCTGCTACTGAATCCTGTCACACCCGCCTCATCTTCTGCCGCCTTCCTCCACCGCCCTAGGTGGCACCTTTGACACCACTACAAATCTTCCTGTGCCCATCCTTTTTTTGTCCCCTGCCCTACCATCAGGCGGAGCACATGGTGCAGGAGTGGCAGCACCTGCTGTGGGAGGAGGAGGATGAGCGCGCAGTGGTGTGGGAGCACTGCCACCACCTCTTCATGCGCCACCGCCTCCCACCGCACCGTGCCGTTGCCTTCTTCCTCGCCCATGCCTGCTCGCTTGGCACCCAGCTCTCACGCCCCACTGCCATGCCTGCTGCTGTGCCCGCCCCTGACAGTGACGCAGAGGGCATTGGGGGCAGCAGGGAGGATGGAGTGGGGGCGGTGGAGGGCAAAGGGGAGGATGAGGAGGAGGAGGAGGAGAGGGTGGAGGCAGAGACAGACCCCCTCAGTGAAGGCTTGTGGAGTGCCGTGAGCGTGTGGGGGGGAGAAGAGGAGGGGCAAGAGGAGGAGGAAGAGGAGGAGGAGGTTTGGAGTGAAGCAGGCGAGGAGGGCGATGGTTGGAGCAATGACATGGAGTGTGCGCAGAGGAGGGCGCGGTGTCTGCACCCCGTGCTGCTGCTTGCACTGCAGTGGAACCTCAGAGCATACCACCTCGCTTATCTGTACGGACCTCTGCCCTGCACCACGCTGCTGCATCCCTCTATCGTGCATCAATATCCCGTTGCCTCCCGTACTTCCGTCTGTGTTTCACCGCTGCCTCCTCATGCTCTCTTGCCCCATCTCCTTCCTGCATCATGTGCCCTCACCGCCCCAGCCATGCATGCAGGTCAGCAGCAGCACCGCACACGGCACCTGAGGACTGCACAACCCCGCACGCCACCACCACTGAGTGCGAGCTGTCGCTCTCCGCCCTCGCCTGCCGTGTGTGGGAGGTGGCAGCACTGGCGGACCACCCCCTGCAATCGCCCCACCACTGCACGACCTTCCCCGGGCTCTCCGTGCCGCTCTGCTCCCTGTGGCACCGCCTGGCGCGTGGCCCTGCGAGCTCCTTCCTCGCTCGCACCGCGCGCGTGATGGCTGCCAACCAAGACGCCCTCTGCGCTGCCGCCGCCGCCCCGCTCGACTCGCCCTCCTCCTGCACCACCCAGCTGCCACTGCCACCCGTTTGGCCGTCACCAGACGGCGATGCAGGGAGAGGAGAGGAGGAGGAGAGGGCGAGGGAGGGCGTGGTGCAGGTGCTGCTGGAGCGAGGGCAGATGGAGGGTGCACGTGCAGTGTGTGCACACGTGGATGGTGATGATGGCAGGGATGGCATGATGGAGGCGGATGTGGCGATGGTGGAGGCAGCAGAGGCGATAGCGGTGCATGAGGGCATGATGGACGAGGACATGCATGCCATGGTGCTGCATGCATGCCGCACATGCCCTGTGGAGGACGATACTCGCCACCTGCTCTTCTCCGACCAACCCTTGGATGTGCGCAACCCATGCTCCCCATGCTGCCCATGCTCCCCATGCTCCCCATGCTCCCCATGCTCCCCATGCTCCCCATGCTCCACATGCTCCCCATGCAACTCATGTGTCTCACATGCATCACGGCTTGTGCCACTTGCTGCATTCTTCCATGGGTCCGCCATGCCATGTCCCTCATACCCCTCGTCGTCCCACCTCTCCCGCCATGATTCCTCTCCCGCAGGTCCTCACAGCCCTTGCCAGGCTCGCCTCGCTCCCCTCCACCCGGCTCTGCATCCTGCGCTGCTTCGCCCGCCGCCAAGCACTGCAGCTCCTGTCGAGCCTCTCCGAACCGCTCTCCGCCGTCTCCGTGCCTGCACTGCTGCGAGCGCTGCTGGCGGAGGGTGAAGCGGCGGTGGCGAGTGTGCAGCTGCTGCTGGCCACAGGGGTGCTGTCTGGCGCTGACGCCGTGCCCGCCGTGGCAGAGCGAATCGTTCAGGTCACCTCCTCTGCTCTACGCCTCCTGCCAATGCACCCTTCCATGGTTCCCCTCTCACTGCTGTGCAGTGCATGATGCATGCTCTCCATGTCAGTCTCATCCCTCCTCCATTCCACCACTCAATGCTTCTACGCGTCCTGCTCCTGTGCGCTGTGTGCTGTGCGGTGCTGGCAGGTGATAGACAGCGGGTACAGCAGTGCGGCCAGCACCGCGTGGCGCAGCACCCCGTACAGGCGGTTCACGGACGTACGGGGCAGAGGGCATGGCGATGGGGAGGCGGTGCAGGGAGTGGGTGGCGGCAGCACAGCGGCACGGGGTGCAGCCCGACAGGGCAGTGCCAATGTTGCGCGCACTGCATTCATGTCGCCATCGCACCCCGCTGCACCACCTCCCTCATCGTCTGCAGCGTCGCCTCGGTCCTTCCACCCGTCCCCCCTCCTTGCACGGGCATCCTCAGTGTCGTCATCAGCAGCACCATCTACTCGCAGCTTGGGGCGCACTGCTAGTGGCAAGGCGCTGTGGGGGGGGGAAGCACCCGGTGCACTGGATGCAGCGTCCCGCCTGCCATGGGACGAGTCCGAGGTGGCGGCGCTGCTCTCCCTGCTCTCCCACCACCCCGCCCTGCCTGACCTCCCTTTCGCACTCCCACCGCTGCCTCCTGCTTCACCATCTGCCTACAACAGCAGCAGCAGGGGCGAGAGCAGTGAGGCTCCGCCCTTGATTTTCCTGCCGCTGGCTTTGCTTCACTGCCTGAAACACCTTGACGGGGCCAACGCCAATACCCAGGTCAGTCGTGAACGGCCCGTGCTGCCTTCCCGCTGCATCACCTCTCCCACTCACCACTGGCTTGCACCATTGTCGTAACTCTTGGAACCACCTGCAGCCTGCTTGCCCACCATTATTTCCAATGCGTTGTGTCACCTCTATCTGCCCATCCTCTCTGTGCTGCTCCCAACCAACTCCTTCACCAACTGTCCGTGTCCAGGTCGATGTGCTGCTTCTTGCACACTACGCCAGTGTGGCAGTCCCCCTGGCAGCCAATGAGACGCTGCCACGTGTCACAGAGGCGATGGTCCAGTGTGCGGTGTCGTTGTCCTCGCCGTCCCTTGCATCCGCCTCACTGCGCCTTCTCCTGGCCACCACCAACCCGCGCCCCCTCTGCTTCATCCTCACGCGCCTCCTTGCCTCCGGCCAGCTTGCCTTCCTGCTCTCCCGCCTGCCTGCCGCCGCCTCTGCTGCCCATGCCGTGCGCTCCGTCTTCCTCCAAGCCACCCTCCCTGCCGCCAGCGCCAGCAACCCCATGAGTAGCATGCTCTCCCTCTCCGCCCTCGCCCCGCCCCCATCCACCGCCACCACCACGTGCGGCACATGTGCCAGAGGCTTCTGCCCTGTTCCCACGGCCGTGCCGCATGCCTCCAGGCGGGGCAGCGGCGTTGGTGGTGGCAGGTGCAGCGGGGGAGGGGGGTGTTTGGCATTGGAGGTGCGCATTGCACTGCACACAGCGGCATGGAGCCAGGGGCTGTGCGATGACAGCAAGAACCTCGTATGCCCTGCCACCCTGCTTCCGACACACCCCTTAATGATCATCCTCTCTTTCTTTCATTCCAATTCCTTGTCACCAGTTTTCTCTTCTCCGTCTCTTCCCACTCTTGCTCTTCTAAGCATGCTGCCTTGATTCAGTGTCAAAGTCAAGCCCATTCTGACCGTGCACTTTCATGTTTCCACACACACACAACCACAGACACACACACAAGCATGCTATCGTCACACCCCGTGCATGCACGCCCTCGCTCTGCGTGCCACGTCCCCCCCCATGTGGCAGGTGTTGCAGCAGCTGGGGCCGGCACGGGAGTTGGCGGAGGCGCAGGAGAGGCGGGCGGGGGACTACCTGGCGGACTGGCGGGCGCTGCAGTCGTCGCGCTGGCTGCACGCCAACGACGACGCCGCCGTGCTCATGCTGCTCGACGCCATGCGCTGCCTCACAGCCGCCGCCTCCATGTGGGAGCGCCTGGGGGCGGGCGACAGGGCGCGGCGCAGCGTGGCACAGGCAGCGCTGCTGGGGCTGCAGGTGCACGTGGGGGACACACTCATTGGGCTCACACCTGCTGCTGCCAGCGTGCTGCTGCAGCAGCAGCACCGCTTCTTCGAGGCACTCGTCATCGCCAACGCATACGATCTCACCTCGCCTGCCGACTGGTCGCTACTCCTCTGGACCCACCTGGACCGCTTCCGACCATCGCCGGAGTTTCTGGACGAGTGGGCGATGGCTGTGCCGATGGCGCTGGACATGCTGCTAGACGTGGCGGAGCGCGTGCAGCACGAGGTGGGTAACAACCGCTCCGCTCACGTGAATTACCTGGCGGGCGCGTTCCGGCACCTGCTGTGGCTGGTGCCGAACCTGGAGGAGCGGCTGCAGCTGGCGACGGTGTCACGTGCTGCACCTGCGGAGGTGGACAAGTGCCTCAGCATGCTGGACCGCGTGCCCGCCACCACTGCCCCCCTCCTGCTGCGCCGAGGCCATGGCGGGGCATACATGCCCGTGCTGTGAGCGCAGATGGGGTTGGGAAAATGGGGTGAGGGCATTGGGGCACGATGGCTGCTGGAAGATCTAGTTGTTAGAGGTGACCAACACATGGAATGCGCGATGCCTGTAGGCTCTTGCCGGTCAATGCGATAGCTAGATTAATTTGTGTCATGTTGGCACAGATTGCTTGGTAAGGTCCGTGCTTGTTACGGTATCTTAAACTAGGTGACTCAGCCACATAGAGTGAATTTGCTCATGTGGTAACACCTGACTAAGGTTAGGAAAAGTCTCATCAAGGGATGGATGGTTGGATGGCCTTCCGCAAAAGAACACAAGATGCTGATGTTATATTGCTGCCCAAAACTCCACTTCGAAAACACATACCGGTACCATGGTTTTCTGGAAACATACCGAAAACACATAACTACAGAGCAAGAACCACTCCAACGCAGTTTGGAAATGAGGGTGAAACAAAAAGGTGTGCATGTGGGTAGTGCTGCTACCCCAAGGAGACAGTGCTTGGAGTGGCTGAGTGAGCTTGCATTGAGATGCGCACTGCCTCAGCCTGCAGAGCACTCAATGCTGCATCACCCCCTCCTGATGCTGCCACGCCTGCCTCTTCAGCCATCGCACCCCTGCGCGCCTCAGCAGCAGCCCTGGCACCAGCCTGCAGTGCCCTGTGCAGCAGTGCCATGCGCCGTAGCACCACCGCCTTGCCCACCACCCACCCGCTCCTTCCCATGTCCTGCTCTTCCTCCTGCTGCACTCCTCCCCCCTCCTCGCTCAGTCCTGCACCATCTGGGCTCTCACTGTCAGAGCCCCGCCACCTGTCCTGCCATCCTGGCAGCTGCCATGTCAGCAGGTAGGCCACTAGTTGTCGAGCCACCGGGGTGCGTTGGGCATACCTGGCCAGCCGCCGTGCCACGCTCTCCCGCTGCCACATGGCAGTCTGTGATTGGGCCACAAGGGGTTCACCCGCTTGAGGCTGATGTTTGTCAGGGTGTGCAGATGCTGCGACACCCACAGGGGTGGGGCAGTCAGAGTCAGGTGCATGGTCAAAGAGGAAGGCGACGAGCAGCGAGGCAGCTAGAGCAAGTGAGAGCGGGTAGTGGGGCACGGCCTTGTGGGGAGAGAGGGCCCTGAGTGTCAGCAGTGGGGCATCTGGCTGGCTCGTTGCTCCAGGGGCATCGGCCAGCTGTGCGAAGGAGGTGGCAGGGGTGAGCAGCGAGCAGCATTTGTCAAGCGCACCAGATTCCAATGACTGCATGCATGCCTGCAGCAACGCCCCCCCCGCACCGCCCACAGCTTGCCTCTGCCCCAGCCCCAGTGGCTCACGCCCCCCAACATTTTGGCAGTCAGGAGAGGCATACAGGTACCCCATGGGGCTGGCAGCGCAGAGTGCGAGCGGTGGCAGCAGGTGCAGTGCGGAGGCAGCATCAAGGGCATGCCAGGCGGCAAGGCGAATGGCGGGAGCCACATGCGCGTGCAGGAGGGTGGCGAGCTGGCGGGCAAAGAGGACATGGCCAAATGAGGCTGCAGCGAAGCGATCAGCTAGAGATTGGAGGAAGGACTCGTACAACGATGGGGGGAAGAGGTGCGGCGGGAAGTCAAGCACAGAGTGCTGTGATGTGAGCTGCAGGGCATATGCGTCCTGCAGGCATGCGATGGGGCGGGTGAGGGCTGGTTGCAGGTAGAGAGGCGGGTCGGCAAGGAAGAGCAGCGAGAGGTGGTGCAGCTTGAGGGATGTTGGGAGGCGCGCCATGTGAGGCGCCGTGGAGGGGTTGGTCTCCAAGGCGGTGAGGAAGGCGAGCATGCTGTGCAGCGTGTGACGGGGGGAGAGCGGTGCTGGGGCCGCCGTGTCAGAGGGTGCAGTGCTGTGGGTGGCAGATGCAGCAGCGGGCAGTGCAGTGGCAGCAGTCAGCGGGATGAGGAGCCAGGCGGGAGGGAGAGGAAGGGCGTGTGCATGCCATTGGAGCAGCACCGGCTGTGCTGTCACACTTGCGCCTTGCAGCAAGAACGACCCACTGCTGCTGCCCGCCCATACACCACCCTCCACGCCTGAAGCACTGCTGCAGATGGTGGTGGCAGTGGTGGGGATATCACCGGAAGCACTGCCTGCTGTCGCTTCCCCTGCTACCTCTGCAAACCTCACTTTCTTGTCGCCACCCTCACCACCACCCACCGGCTGCACCTCCCCTCCTTGCTCCACTCCTTCCATCTCCCCCTCCTCCCTTTCCTCCACTGCTTCCAGCCTCTCTCCCACTCCGATTCTCCTTCGCTCTTGCTTTCCCCCACTTGCACTCACGCCTTGCACCTGGGCTTCCCCAGGGTGAGTGGAGTGGCGGGTGAACCACAGGGCCTCCAGCAGCTGCCGCACACAGGCCAGCCACACACCCGCTCCACCACCACCGCCACCATGCCCCTCCATCCCCTCACCTGCCACTCCGTGCATCTCCACCTGGGCTTGTTCACGTGTGCTGGATGGCACAGGCGGCACAGCAGGGGAGAAGGCGAGGATGCATGGGGAGAGCAGCGTGTGCAGCAGAATGAAGGCCGCGGGTTCAGCGTCTGCGGGCCCTGCACTGCCCGCCACCGCGAAACACACCTCCACCAATTCCGTCGCACTCACTCCCTTCTCACCCTCTTCGTTCTCACTCACTCCATTCTCACTCGCTTCATTCCCACTCACTCCACTCCCCTCAGGTTGCATGCACCCCTGTGTCTGCAGCAGCGCCAGCAGAGAAGCCACCATGGCAATGTGCTGTGATGACAGCACCGCCTCCACTCCCCACCACCCCTCCCCTCCCTGGGCCCCTCGCCCCCCCCATCCCACCCCCACCCCCGGCGCCAGGCCCCCTCTCTCCGTGCTGCCCTCGCGCCACACCAGCGCCCCAGCACCTGCACGGGCTGTGCTGCGTGCGCGGAGCGCAGCAGGTGAGAGGGGTCTGCCTGCTGCTCTGATGGAGAGCAAGCGAGCCGAGGAGGTCAGCAGCGGCACGAAGGATGGGATGCACGCTGATAACGCTCCTGCTGCTCCCGCTGCTGCTACTGCTGCCGATGATGGTGATGATGGCGGCGGTGCCATGGACGGTGGTGATGGTGCTGTGGGGGTGTGGGTAGCGAAGGGAGGGCACGCGTGGCTGTGGAGCAGCAGGCAGCCCAGGAGGCGCAGCATGCCGTGCAGGCAGCTCGCACTCGCCACGCCCAGGCCACACGGCAAGTGCGCTGCTGCTGCCAGCAGGTGGAAGGTGGGCGAGGCGGGCGGGAGCAGCGCAGGTGGAGCGTGTGGGGAGGATGCACGTGTGGGGGGCGACGCGCAGGGCAGCAGGCCAGATTGCAGGAGAGCGGATGTAATGGCGTCGATGAACGGAGGGCGCACACAGGGAGGCCACGTGAGCTGCCCACTTTGCTGCCCGTGCGCTGCTGATGTTGCTGCTGCATGGGGTGATGTGGTGGGCACGGCACGAGTGACAACAGTAGCAAGGCAATGCAGCACTGCCGCCACTGCTGCTGCCTCCTCTGCCACCCCCCTAATGCCCGCACTGTGCAAACCACTTTCCTCTCTTCCAACCCCATCATCCACTTCCATCTCGTCTGCCCGTGTGCCTTCCCGTGCCTGCCCATGCTGTTCTGTGCAAGAATGAGAGTGAGGGTGTGTGTGAGAGTGCGAGTGTGCAAGTGCAGCACGGAGGCCAGAGGAGAGGCGAGCAACCAGGGAATTCTGCAGCCAGCGCAGCACCATGGGCAGAAGCGCAACCACCACGCTCCATCCAATATTGTCTCCCGTGTCCCTCTCCGCCTCAATGCTCTCCCCGTCACCATCCCCATGGCCCGCAGGCACGACGCCTCTGAGCCGTGGCAGCGCGCAGCACAGCGCCTCCAGCACCAGCACCGCCTCCCGCCCCACACACACCTCCGCTCCCCCCCACTCGCCCTCCCTCTCTGCCTTCCCACCACCAACAGTGGACGTGGTGGGGTAAGGGGGATCAAGGAAGCGAGCAAAGAAGAGGGAGTAGTCAGAGAAGAGGTGTGCGGTGAGGCCCTGGCGCGCCAGCACTCGCCACAGGGATAGCACTGCCAGCACTGCTGGGAGCGACGCCGGAGAGAGTGCGGAGGAGGAGGGCGGGCGCGGGAGAGGGAGGAGCAGCAGGTGGTGCAGGGTGAGGTGGATGAGGTCAGAGGATGCCACGTGGCGGGCGATCATTGGGCTGGCTGCACTGCACGCCTGGTGGGGTGGGTGGGTGTGTGAGGGAGTCGGGTAGGGGAGTGGGAGGTGAATGGAGGAGGGGATGAGGGGAGTGAGTGAGAAGCAGGAGGCAGGGGGGAATTGCAGGGCAGCACAAGGGATGTGGAACACTTGACGGGACGGAGGAACAATGCAGACAAATAATCAGAGGCGAGAACATGCAATGCAGAGAGGAGCCCATGTAAATGGCATAACGCATGGCCATCCCAGTGCCCTGCCGTGCTTGCCTTGATGATGTCGCTTGCAGCAGCCAGCAGCTCCGGGCTGCTGGGGGCTGCTAGGATGGCCGAGAGGGGTGAGCGAGGGGCGGCCGAGGAGGAGAGGGCGGGCGGCGGGGGAAGCAGGTGGAGGGAGTGAGCGAGGGCGGTGGCAGCAGCGGGGGAGTGGTGGGCGATGCAGAGGGCCACGTGCAGGCACGGCAGGTGCAGGTGCGTGTGCTGCTGCAGAGGGGAGTGCGGCTGTGGGCAGTTGCACACGGTGGGAAAGAGGGGCACACGGCATGTGGGGTTGGGACGAAGACGGGTTTAGTTAGAGGGTGCAGTGGTCACACGGATTGGCAGTGAATCATGCTGCACAATTGTGATCATAAAAAGCAGCGTGCTGGCAGGAGAAGGAAGGATAATCTGAGCAGACAAGAGGGAGAAAGAAGGGAGAAGAAATGCAGAGACCTGGAGCAGGTAGGCGAGGCGAGGCAGGATGCCCATGCGGATGAGCCCAGCGCACACGTCCCTGCACGCCACGTTCGCATCACTCCCCACCGTCTGCTTGTCGCCCTCCCCTGGACCCTCCATGCCCCCACCACCGAGCCCCATGCCCTCCATTCCCCCGCCCTCCTCCTCTTCGTCCTCATCCTCCCCATCGTCGCCATAAGCATCGCCAGGCAGCAGCAGCTCAGAGTGAGCCACGTTGTGGCGCCAGTGGTGCCCGCGGGCAAAAGCGGGCAGCAGGGAGGGCGCGGAGGAGGGGGAGGAGGAGGCGGTGAGGGGCGCGGGCAGGAAAGAGGCTGCGGCCTTGGGCTTGTGCACGGGGGCTGTGGCTGTGATGGCCTCCCCTCGCCACACACTCTGCTGGACGTGGAGTGAAGTACACCGTTGCATGGGGACACACTCAGTGAGACGCCCACAAAGGGGGTTGAACACAAGGTGACAAAAAAAGAGGGGGGGGGGGGGGGGGGTGGTTGTGACGGAGAAATGGGGTGGGATGGTGTCGCATAGATGGGGATTAGGGGGGGGGTCTGAGAAATAGTGATAGGTGATGACCGCATGTAGCAGAGAAAAGATTGGTGAAGAAAGCACTTCTCATCAATGGGTGTGGGAATATGGAAAGCAAGGAAGGGTGTGGGAATATGGAAAGCAAGGAAGGGTGTGGGAATATGGAAAGCAAGGAAGGGTGTGGGAATATGGAAAGCAAGGAAGGGTGTGGGAATATGGAAAGCAAGGAAGGGTGTGGGAATATGGAAAGCAAGGAAGGGTGTGGGAATATGGAAAGCAAGGAAGGGTGTGGGGGAGGCAGGTGGGCGGATGTGGGGGCGAGGGGCAGGGAGGCGACCTGAGAGAGCGAGAAGAAGCGGTGGTTGGGGGCGAAGGAGAGGACGTGCAGGGCGAGGGCGAGCGCTGCTGCGATGACCTGAATGTGCTCGTGGTCCAATGCTAGCCTGCCCCGCCATGCACATGCACACGCACGCAACACACACGGGACGGCCGGCAGTGAGGTTGGACGGGGATGGACCCATGGGGGAAGGAGAGGGTGATGGGTGCAGATGGGTGGAGTTCCAAGGGTGGAGCAGGTGGAGAGGAAGGTGTGAGGTGCACAGCACAAGGCACGCAGTGTGGTGGGGCGAATGAGAGTTCTGGTGTGAGGGACAATGGTTGTGAGTGTGTGGGCATGGGAATGGGAAAGGGAGTGCGAGAGAGGATGGTCCGACGGGTTTAGGGCGGCAGGAGGCTCACCGCAGGGCGAGCAGCAGCTGCACCTCGTGGCTCAGGGCATACGCCCACACCGCCTCCCAGTCCTCCTCCTCCTCCATGCCCCCTCGCCCCACCTCCCCGTCTCCGCCTCCCATCATGCCCTCACCGTCCCTTTCACCCCGGCCTGTCTGTGCATGTGTTGCCCTTGAGAGCAGAGCAGAGAGCAGGGCAAGTCCAGCGGCGGCCTGGGCGGGCACGTGGCTGCGCGACAGTGCCACCGCCTCGCGCACCGTGTACCCCGCCCTTCCTGGCTGCGCGCCCGTCCTCAGCCAATCGCGCTCCGCCACGTGTCGCACCGCCAATTCACGCACCGCCATGCCTTGCGGTGAGTCTGTGGGCGGAGGGATGGAAGATGGGGAGCGAGGAGGAGCGGAGGGAATAAAGAGGACACGTCATGGGACAAGTGAATCATGACACGTTGGTGGCATCACAATTGAGCAGACTGGCACCACACCATCATGCATGCCATCGTGCATACCATCATACATGCCATCGTGCATGCCATTGTGCATGCCATCATGCATGCATGGCACAGTACCCTGGTCAAACTGCATGGCAGCTTCAGCCGGCACCCCCAGAGCACTCTCTGCATCGCGTGCCACGTCAGCAGGGACTGGCCGCCCGTCCATGGCAAACCGCACGCTGCGAATGCGCTCCACTCGCTGCTCCCACGTGGCAGGGCGGTCATGCTGACGTGGCACCGAAGGCCCACTGGCAGGTGTATGGTGTGAGAGAGGCTGCTGGGAGGACTGCAGTGATGCACCGCCATTGTCCCCACCGCTGCCTCCATCCACCTGCATTTCCTCCTGCTGCTGCTTCTCCTCGCCGGACCCACCACTGCCTGCTCCACCACTCACTCCCTCCGACCTGCTCCCTTGCCCTGCACCCACCCCTCGGCGCCGCTCCTCTTTCTCCCTGCCTCGCCGTCTGAGCATGTCCAGAGCCCCCGGGGGCAGGCGTGCCATGAGCTCCGCCTGTGCTTGTGCTATCTGTGCCGCACTCATGCCGCTCACCACCCCCCTGTTCGCCTCGTCTATCTCCCGCTGCTCCTTCGTTTCCCCCACCCCCCTGCCACTGCCGCCACCAACAACTTGGGCAGCCGAGCCGCTCCGTGCTGCACTGCCCCCAGGCACCGCAGCAGCAGCAGCACCTTCCGCCCCTACTCCTGCAGCAGCAGCACGAGCGATTCGCCCCTCCCTCGCTGCCCTCTCCCTATCGCTCACAAGTGCTCCCCTGGCCTGCCCGCCCACTGCCGCCATGCCCCCATCCACACCCATTGCCTCTCCCTTCACCGCCCCCATTCCCCCGTCCTCCCTCGCTCTCGCCCCTTCCCTCTCCCCTCCCCTCCTCCCCGACCCCACCTCCACCTCCATGCTGCCCCTGTTCCTCTCCGCCTCGTGATGCATGCCTGTTGCCCCTCTCACCCCCCCACCTGCCTGCTGTGGGCGCAGAGGCATGGCGGATGCGGCAACAGCAGCAGGGGGGGGCAGCACGGAGGAGTCGTGGGGAGGGCTCCAAGCAGCGAGGGGGGACGCATGAACCGCTGCCGGCTGCCAGTGCTGTGGGAATGGGTGGTGCATGGAGTTTGCAAGGGGGCAGGATTTTAACACAACCAGGGGTTTAAGGCGAGCAGAAAGGGGTTTAAGGTGAACAGGGGTTAACTAGACCAGGGAATTAGGGCGAGAGGGGGTTAAGGGTGAGAAGGGGTTTAGGGCGAAAAGGGGTTTAGGACGAAAAGGGGTTTAGGGCGAAAAGGGGTTTAGGGCGAAAAGGGGTTTAGGGCGAAAAGGGGTTTAGGACGAAAAGGGGTTTAGGGCGAAAAGGGGTTTAGGGCGAAAAGGGGTTTAGGGCGAAAAGGGGTTTAGGACGAAAAGGGGTTTAGGGCGAAAAGGGGTTTAGGGCAAACGGGTTTAGGGCAAACGGGTTTAGGGCAAAGGGGTTTAGGGCAAACGGGTTTAGGGCAAAGGGGTTTAGGGCAAAGGGGTTTAGGGCAAAGGGGTTTCTAGGCCGAGCAAGAGTTTATGATGAGCAGAGATTAGCGTGCCAGCAATCAAAACAACCAACACCCCCACTCTGCAGCATCGCCGCCCCACAAGCACCCTCCCTTCCCCTCCCAACCGCACACACTCTTTCCCCGAGCACGCACAGGGCCCTCCGCGCGGTGACGGGCGACGGGGAAGGCGAGGGCGGACATGGGCAGGGGGGCCAAGGGCGCGGAGGGGCGCGCAGGGGCGTCGCCAAAGCCTTTCTCGCGGATTCCGCTCAGCACAGTGAGCGGACGGTACTCCCCATCGCTTCCCCCGCCATTTAATCCGTCCAGCCCCATCCTCCTTTGCTCCTCCTCCCGCTCCTGCTGCTGCTGGCGCTGCTGCTTCCGCCGCTGCAGCTGCTGCCTTTCTTGCTGCTTCCGCCGCTGCTGCTCTTCGCTGCCGCTCCCACGCCCTCCTCCCAGTGCCGACTGCACAGCTGTGACCGATCTTCCCCCTGAGGCTGCAGAAACAGGAAGGAGGGGGAGCGGAGGAGGAAATGACGGAGTGAGGTCGGGTGGAAAGAAGCGGGTGGATAGGCCCGGGGAGAGTGGGGAAGGGAAACTGCAGAGGCATGAGAAGCTGAGAGTATTGCAGTGAAGGCGGGGGCAAATTGCGGGTGTGCACGGTACGGGAAGAGTGTGGTAGGCGGCAGCATGGCGCAGACGGGGCAGACGAGCGGGGGCAGGGAGAGGGATGAGAGGCCCCCGGGTGCCGCGCGCGGTGGGGGCAGCCATGGAGAGTGAGCGCGCGCGCGCGACAGCACGCACCAGTATCGGCGGACTGCGCGTCGCCGTCCGCGCTATTGATTCGCACGACAGTGGCGGCGGCCGGCTGCCGGCCCGCCATGAACTCCGCCTGCTGCCGCTCTAGATCCTCATCGCTCATGTCGCCCCGCCGCAACCCACCGCGCGACGCCATGGATGGCCAATCGGTGCCGCCGAAAGGGGTTTACGACGATCAGTGGAACCAGGGAGCTGCACGGGCACGACGGCAGTGTTCAGCGGAGCGTGTAGCGGGCGAACCTCTGACAAGCATCAGGTGGATCGACCGACAAATTCCCAACACCTGTTGGTGTGTGCTATGCATGATGCTCAATATGGAATCTCAACCCAGATTTCGCGAAGCGGTTACGGGTGTTGCGATGATGGAATTGGACAGATTTCTCGAACGAACATTGGCGATAGTTGTGACACCACTTCCAGCTCCTGCTCGCAACGACTGAGAGACCTATCTGCAACGAAATCCCTCCTCCCCTTACTCGAACCAGCCATTGTGACCATTCCGTTTCCATCCCATCTACCAGCCCCGCACCGCCACGCGCCCATCTCCCCGCCCATCGCATCTTTCCCGCCGCGCGAATCCACCATGGCGGCCGCAGCTGCGAGTGAGTCCGCGCGCGCCGTTCGTACGCGATGCGCTGTCCGCTGCGCACCGTGCATCCCGCTAGTTCTCGCCTTGCGCACCGCTCTCCGCTTGCGATGCTTGTGACTGGGGGCTCGATGTTGCCAGTCGTGCTGTTCTCGAGACGCGTGCTCTGAGCTGCTGCGAATCTCGTTGTTTCAGACGTGTTCTTAGATTCCTCAATACGACTACACTCGCTGGCTCAGAGGCGCATTTTCATATTTCCCAACTTAACTATATGCTGCCTGCATACGCAAGCTCAGATTCCTCCCCCCCCCCCCTTCTCCCACCCCTTCCCTATCGCCCAGGTGCGTGTCGGCTAGCCGCCCTTCCCGCATGCTTCTCCGCGTCTCGCGGCACTCGACAAACCGCCGAGCGCCGGGCGTGCTGGTCACCGCAGGAGGCGGGCGGGCGATGCGGGGTGCGAGTGGTGGCGATGGCGAAAGGCGGGAAGGGCGGGAAGAAGAAGGGCGGCTCGGCAATCCCGAAGGCGGGGCAGGGGAAGAAGAGCGCGGAGGAGGGTGCGGCTGTGGATGAATCGCGACCGCCGTACATGAATGCTGACATCATCATGCACTCCCTCGAGCTCATCGACAGGTTGGCGGCGATGGCAGGGGATCGGATCGGATCAAATTGGACTGGATTGAATAGGATGCGATGGGATGGGTTGGGATGAAATGGGATGGGATGGGATGGGATGGGATGGGATGGGATGGGATGGGATGGGATGGGACCGAGGGGATGTCAGGGAAACGGGATGGGGTGCCATGGGATGGGAGTAGATGTGTCATATTCGTTTCACCCCATGTGCTCCGTGGTGCTGGCATGGCCTCAACATGCTGCATCATCATCAGCACCATCATATCCACCTCGCCCTCCCTGCCTCCTCTTTAACATTCCACCGGTACTCGCACGCGCATTCCCAGCCACCCAACACCCTTTTCCCCATCGCCTGCTTCCTCCCCTCCTCTCCCTCCACCCCCCCCCCCCCTGCTGCGGGGTGCACGTGTGGCAGCTACTACCGGGCGACGGGGAGGCCGCTGTTTGACAAGCCGGTGGAGGTGGCAGAGGCGGCCAAGGAGCTGTGGAGTGCGCCGTTCCTCGTGCTCTCCCATGGCACCGAGGACGACCCCCTCTTCAACTATGGTGCGCTGCCACGCCATGCCATGCCATGGGGTGGCATGGAATGACGTGGCATGACCTGGCATTGCATGGTTTGGAATGAGATGAGACATCACCATGCCATGTCTCTCCGCTGCTGGGATTATCGTTTCCACGATGCCTGCGCTGTGCGCTGCAGCCTCGCTGTCACTTACAGCACCCCACGCCCACGCCCTTTACAGCACCCCATCGCATATATCGGCGCCATGCTGCTCCGCGTCATATTTCACATCTTTGCCCTCCTCCATCCCCTCGCCCAAACCCCCATCTCTGATTCCTTCCCCCCCCCCCCCCCACCCACTTCCCCCCAACCCTCAGCCAATGAGAGCGGCCTGCGTGCGTTTGAGAGCACGTGGGGCGAGTTCACGGCGCTGCCGTCGCGCTACTCCTCGCCCGACCCCGACTCGCCTACGCGCAAGGAGCTGCTGCAGCAGGCCGAGGAGGTGGGGGGGGGGCTCTTGGGGGAGAGGGGGAAACAGGATTTGGGAGTGGGGAAGAGGAAGGGTTGGTGGGGAATGTTAGGTTTGTGGACATTCCAATGGCACGAGGGGGGTGATGGAGAGAGGAGTGAGGGCAGCAGGATGTGACAGCTGCTGGTAGTGGGAGGCAGGCCGGTGTGATAAACCCACACACTTGCACAATTCTTCTCCCCCTCCAATCTCCTTAGTTCCCTCGTTCCACGTGAAACCACATGCATGTGTGTTGCATTCCGTGCTGCTGCCCGTGAGCAGAAGCCGAAGGATCTGAAGGGGCTGGTGCGCGTGTCCACCAAGGGGACCAAGTTCGAAATCGATGACGGCATCTGTGCGTGCCCTTGCCTCCCGCTGCCCCATGTCTCCACATCACTCTCTTGCCTGGATGAGTCATGAAATGTTCTTTTCATGCGCCCATGTGTCGATTTCCCTTCCGTTTCCTCCTTCTTGGACCCCATTTGCTGTGAATCAGTCATTGAAAGCACGACCTGTTCATACTGCTTCCTCAACCACACATATATTTGTTGTCTGCGCATGTCCCTGCTGCCACTGTCTCTGCTCTTCTCTCACCCCTCTTCGCTGCTCCTGAATCACTCATGCTCGTTCGCGTTCTCTCCTTCCCCAATCATCCAGTGTGGACACTCGTGGCGACAGACGGCGAGCGCTTTGGGCAGGTACCACTTACCTCCCTCGTTGCCCGGCACCGTGCTCGTGCACTTGGGGGTGCACGCACACACACACGATGCACACGCACATGCGTGCACACACACACACACACACACACACACACACACACATGCACACACACACATACACACACACGAACACGCACACGCACACACACATACACACATACACACATGCACGCACGCACATGCACGAACACACATGCACATGAACATGTACACACACGTACACACAAGCACACAGATGCACACATGCACATGCACACACACACACACACACACACACACACACACATACACATACATAGCACATACACACACCCACACACACATTCGCACACGCTCACACACACACGCACACACACATATGCACGCACGCACACACAGACGCACACGCGCACGCACGCATACGCATACACAAGAAAGATGTCCACAAATGTGCCCCTGGTCCACTTGCCACCGCCCCTGGGCTCCACCCTCCCTCTGCCGCCTTCCGGTCGGCCTCTCGCCATGCAGGCTGCAGTGATTCGCGAGTGGCACCTGCTGGACCCCCCCAAGGATGACCAGGAGCAAGGCGCGGCCCCAGATAGCAGCGCAGCACCCAGTGCACAAGCAGCGGCAGGCAGCGCTGGCAGCAGTGTTGTGCAAGGGAACACAAAAGAGGAATCATGAAGGTGGCAGCAAGGCTGTGAGCCCTGAGCCAGTGGTTGAGTTGAGTCAGGCTGTGAGTGAATTGCAGTCGTATACCTGTGAGTGAGGCTGACATTGACAAGTCCGTTGCTTGCACCAGGGGACAAGTTCAATAGGCATGGGAAGGAAGCGTTAGTAGGAGGTGCTGGTGCATGTGCTTGTTTGTTGCCTATTGTTTGCTACATTCCCTCCTCTTTTTATTTCACGCACGGCCCTCTGGCATGCATTTTAGTGGCAACTTGTTTGCTTCTTTAAAATTGTGTAGTGGCGACATTAGAAGAAATTGTAACGTAATTCTTGGGATAAAAAACCCTCGGATCGGGTCGTAATATATGGTAGATTCATCTCAAAGAAAAAGTGTGGTTTCTAATGAAAGGCAAGAATTTTGGCAGCAGCTATTTTTAAAGGAAATACCGTATTCTCCCGGATATAACACCCCCCGAAATTGTATGTCAGAATCCCAGCCAAATCAGTATGATAAAAGGGGTTGTTTGTGTAGCGGATAACTGCGCCCATAACCCCCCAGGCCAACGTGCCTGTAACCCTTCCATAGGATCAATCGGGAATCATCCGTGGACCTCTGACACCCCCCCGCACTGGGATGCCCGAGGTGCATCCATCGGGATTCGGACCCGAGACATTTGCTCTGATACCATGTCAGAATCTCAGCCACTAACCACTGGGATAAAATGGCTTGTTTGTGTAGCGGGTGAGTGCGCTCATAACCCTCCAGGCCAACGTGCCTGTAATGTAACCCTTCCCGAAGATCAATCGGGGATCACAAGTGGACCTCTGACATTGTACACCCTCTTGGTAGCTTGTGCGGGGTGGGTGCTATGGGCGACCTTGTTTCTACTATACCCCCCTTCTTTTGGGTGATTTCCTATAACATCCCCCTTTTCCTAAAGATTCCTTATTATAATAGCTGATAACGAGTCAGTGCAAGTACGGGAGGACGCGAAAATCCCTCCCTTCGCGAAATTACACGGAACTTGTTAGAAACTAAAAATTTCTTATAACTGCCTGCTAGTGTAACTATTGTGTGGTGTTTAGCTGCTTGTTGGTCGTGCACCATCTTGCCCACCCATGCTCCTACTTGTACCAATCTTGCTAAGCAAACTTCCTCTTTTGCCTATCTTCTAGCCAAGGTTTCCTAGGGTTTCTAACCTTTGCCTAAGCTATTTTGACATGGTATCAGAGCCGAAAGTTCCTAACGACCTCCGCAATCACTTCTTATGGGCCCACCGTCGCGCTGCCCGTCATGCAGCGCCCCTTCCCGTTTTTTGCCCGTCGTGCGCCCCGAGCACGCGGCGGTTCTGCCCGTCGTGCGCCCCGAGCGCGCGGCGGTTCTGCCCGTCGTGCGCTCCGAACGCGCGACGGTTTCTGCGTGTCCACGCGCCCTGTAGTCGCACGTGCAGCTCCTACCCCCCCCCCCCCCCCCCCCCCTTCTCCTCCATCTCCCTGCTGTGCGTGCAGCAGTTTGAGGGGGGGGGGGGGGGGGGGTGTG